AGGTTGCACTAGCTTCCCCTTTTCAGCCCATGGGAAAAGGGAAAGAGGCAGAAGTGAAGGGGTCCTGTGACAGGTTTTCTGCACGAGGCCTGGAAGACACATACCTTATTATATTCTGTTGGAAAATACTTAATCACAAGGTCACATCTATCTGCAAAGGAAGCTGGAAAATTTAGTGTAGCTAGGCACCTGTATGCCCCGTTATAATTCTGATACTGGTCAGGAAGGCAAGAATGGGTTTGGGTGGACAGCTAGTAGTCTCTTACTTTTACCCTCTGTGGTACTTCTCTAATTAATGGCATTATTCTGTAAAATACTCAGGCTTGGGTTCTTACAATCATCCTCCAACCTTCATCTCTCTCCTTATCTGTTATAACTACCTAAGCAATCCCATATTCATTCCTTACTTTCTACTGCCTCCTCCACGGCACTGCTCAAGGCCTTTGTATCTCTTGGTTGAGCAGCTGTAATCAACCTCCAAAATTACCTCCCTAGGTCAGCCCTCAGAGGCTCATCACACTCCTCTTTCACTCTGCTGTCAAGTGCCACTTCTTAACACAAAGATCCAACTGTCCAAGAAGTTTGAGCACCTTAACGGTTACACCTCTACTCACCGGCAAGGCTGTGAGCACCACATACAGAGCACCTGCAGCTATGCCTTTGTAGCTCAGGGGGTCATTCCAGACTGCCTCCTACTCTGTTCCAAACCGTCTCATTCCCGTCTCATGGCCCACGCTTCTACCCTTTTGCCTCACACCAGGACTCTGCCCAACTTTATCTTCCTTTGGATTAACACCATAATGGGACTGTCTACCCAGCTTTTCATTCAGCTATGTCCCAGAGATGGTCTCTCAGGACCCAAGCTTGCTCTTTGTTCAGCAGACAAGTTTGGACAGTGATCATGTTATTCTCTTCACTCAAAGCAACATGAGTTCCTATTGCTTATGAATAAAACAGATTTTTTTTTCAGCATGCCATCTATGGCCTGCCTCCATCTGATCCCATTCCACAATGACCACCCTCACCAATACATCCTTATAATCTTCTTGACATTTTTCTCATTCTTTAGTATCTGACTCATATATCACCTCCTCCAGAAGCCTTCCTCGTCCTCCTCTTTTGTACTCCATCTTTGTACCACGTTCTTCTATGCATTGCTTTCTACTCCTATAGCTTTCGTGTATACAATGACCTCCCCATCTAGGGTGTATACACCCTACAGACAGGGACTGTGACTTAGTCATCCTTGCAGAACTCATGCTGCTGAGAATAAAGCCCTGGGGAATACTTTAGATCATGTTATTTCCACTGCTTAAGATCTCCTGATGCTCTCCAATGGCTTCCTATATCACTCCGTCAATGACAGAAACCCTACATAGGACTACATGGTCTTATAGTATCGAATGTTCCTGTTACCACTCTCCCCTTGCTCCTTGCTGTTCCTCGAACACATCAGACAAGACCCCACCTCAGAGCCTTTGCATTTGCTGTTCCTTTTATTGAGGCACTCTTTCCCCAGATATCTGCACGGCTCGCTTTCTCAACTTCTCAGGGCTTCTCTCCAAGGCCACTTTCTCAATGAGGCCTTCCCCAATCGCTTTATTCCCACTGGGACTCTTGCAACACGCTCTTTCCCTCTCCCCTGATTATTGTTTCTCCACAGCAGACATCACCTCCTTACATAATACATACTTTCCTCATTTAATGTGTTTCTCTCTCTCCCCCTGCTAGAATGTAAGCTTCATTCTAGTTTGAATCTGTTTGTTTACTTCTGCATCCCCAGAGCCTAGCTAGGATAAGGCCCGGCATATGGAAGACACCCAATAAACACTTGTTGAAAGAAAGTAAGAAGAATTACACTAATAGAAAGTGTTCAATAAATATTTGTTAAATGGAATGAAAAGTGTCAGGAACAGAGGACTGAACTTTCCAAATTCTAAAAAAATATGTTGGCTTGGGAGAACTGTGAAAGTGAGTGAAAGCTGCCTCATTATAAACATCCTTGAGGAAGAACTAAAATCGTGTATTGGTGGTGGGAGGGGCAACTGAGCGAGGCCATGTGGGCCTCGCGGAGGCATTAGGGGCTGCCTTACTTCCCCACTTGGATACAGTCTGTCACGCAGGTGTTTCCCTGAAGTTACCTCCTCAGCTTGTGAAGCACGCAGAACTCTTGAGCGGCTTACCTGACACTTCTCAGGTGTAACTAGGAAACTACCAGGAGTAAAAATGACAAAAAAACATCACCCACGACTAGATTTTGGGGTCCTGGGGAAGCAGAGCCCATTGCCGAACAGTGCGGAGGGGACCCTTCCGTCTTCTCCCAAGGCTCCGCCTTGACGCTGTTGATCTGAAATGCTCCTCCGCCTCACTCCTTTGCAGCCGCCTCCTTTCGCAGGAGGACGCGCTCCTGATCTCCGCCTTCCCTCCTCTCTCCTGGACCCATAGTATTTTTTTTTTTCTTTCTCACGCTTCGTTGCTGCTACTACCGCCCACACCGGCCCTCTCTTTATTGTGCCTTGACTGTAAACAAAACACGTTAGCTCGTAGCAAGGTCGATGTAGGCACAGTTTCTCTGCTGCCAGCCAGACGTCTTAAGGTGGTGTGACTATGACTCGTTTATTCCTCAAGATTAACAAAACAACAACAGGGTGCTGCTCCTAGGGATTAACGGAAGAAAGGTTCATTAGGTATGGAGGATAGAAGCATTGCTTTTCTACTTTTCTGTAGGATATGGAGTCCAAAAATAAAATGAAACTCTGTGGCAAGGTGTACCCCTCTGGAGTATCTCCATTTACATATTTGTGGCAGTGTGTGTATTAATGCATGTGAATATATGCTAACATATCATATGGAATTCCTGTAGAGCCCAGCAACTATTTTAAAATTTCGACCACAATGATCTAATTTCAGGGATGGGGTATAAATTATGGCACCGAGGCCTACCCCAACTGGGCTGTCCCCTCTCTTCCTCTTCTCCAGTCCAATAAAACTGGGGCATGAAATGTAGACAAATGAAGATGAGGCCACCTACTTTGATCCCAGGTGCAATATTTTCAGGAAAGAAGTCCTGACCTGAAGCAAGTATTGGGCACTGCCTCCCTCACTGCTCCCTGGGTAGGGTATCACCCCCGTTCCTTTGGGAATCTGCATTTTAGTTGAACTAGTGGATAGTGATACCAAAGGCCAGCGACAGCTACATTTAAATATCAGTGACCACAGGCCACATCAAGGAAACAGCAGCTGGCAGCCCCGGGCGTGTGAAGGAGCCATTCTGAATTACTTATAAGAGAGAAGGACCTGCAGATTACAGCACAGGCAAGTGCAGACAAAAACACTGACCCAGCTGGGGCCATCAGGTAGGAAAGAAAGAAAATGAACCAGCTTGGGAGAGGAGACCTCTGTCTAATCCTGTCTCTGCTGCCTACTGGACATGTGTCCCTGGATAGGAATCCTCCCAGTGTCCATTTCCTCAGTGGTAAAGAGAGGGGGGTGAACCATAGGGCTGCCAAGGCCCCTCTGAGCTCTAACCCTGTGGTGTGTATGAGGTGAAGCAGGCACAGTGTGAACAAACAATAATGTGGTTAAGAAAGGTTAAAAATCAAACGCACCTGGAGCATAGATGCATAAGAAAACATCACTGCTGTGGACTATTAGAATCGAAGGAGATTAGTTTCCAGTAAAATATATTAATTTGGGCTCAAACCAAGATTATATGTCTGGGGGTGGGGGTGGGGGTGGGATGGCAGTTGAAGACCCATTGAGATCTGAGATGTAACAGCTGTGCCCTTGCTGTTTTACCTTCTACCACTCTGCTCAAGACCATACTGATGGGTAAATTTCAGGTTGCCAAGGGGAGCAGAGAAATGCCTGAACAATATCAGTTCTAAAGACATGGTGGTGGTGGTTTTGGAAATCACTGCAGAATCTGGACTTTCAGATTATGAAAGTCCAACAGCATTCACTTGGCACCTGACTGTTGTTCTGGGTGGGAGAAGTGAATCTGGAGAGAAAGGCGGGAGAAGGAAGGAGCTGTTGTAGTTGGCGGCGGGACTCAGGTAGAGGAAACTACCACCACCGGGGAAAGAACTGAAAAAATACAAAGAGACGAGTTCCTACACGCAGCCCACGTCCATGGCTTTAACCGTGTTTGGGAGGCACGAACCTGGCCCAGGGGGTGTAACCTCGCTTTTGAACACTAAAGGTGTTTGAGACAGCTACAGAGTTTATTAGGGACTCAGGAGACCAGTTTGAGTTTTAGATCTTGAAATCTTATTTTGATTGAGAGCTTGGGTTCAGAATATACACGCTATTATAAATGTCACGCCTACTCCAGGCTAATTTGCAGAAAGACGTTCGCCTTGGCTTCTTCCCTAAGCCCCCTGTCTCCCCTAGAATAGCTGAGACTTCTAGGCTAAGGGTGAGCTAACCACGGCTCACCCACAGCTAAGGCTCCCAGACCCTCAAGCCCAGTATTTCCCCGCCTCCCCCGCAGTGCTAGAAGTTGGGGCAACAGGTAAGAGCCCAGCTGCGGGCGGGGCCCCCAACGTCTGCCTTCCCCGTAGCTGCCCGCAGTGAAGGGAGGGGGGGGGTAGGGGTAGGCCGGGGGGGGGGGGGGCGGACAAGATCGCCACGGAGGCGCACAAAGCGCAGCCAGCAGCCTTTGAGATCCTCTGGTCCAGCCCTTTGCTTGCCCGCAGAGGAGCGGGAGACCCGGGCTCCGGGCGGGACGGCTGCGCGCCCGTCGTCAGCGCAGCGCAAGGCCCCGCCGCCCCGGCCCCTCCCCACCTTCCCCGCCGTTTGGCTAGTTTGTTTGTCTCATTTTTTCATTTCTGCGAGGCCGGCCGGAGCAGGTTTGCTGGCAGCAGTACACCTCCAGCAATCACGGGACCAGCCAATCTCCGGGCGGCGCTCTCGGAGTCGGCGCGCTCGGGAGGCGGGGAGGCGGCGGGATCGCTCCGGGGCCACCTTAAGGCCGCGCTCGCCAGCCTCGGCGGGGCGGCTCCCGGCGCCGCAACCAATGGATCTCCTCCTCTGTTTAAATAGACTTGCGGTGTCAATCATTTTCTTCTTCGTCAGCCTCCCTTCCACCGCCATATTGGGCAACTAAGAAAAGGGGGCTCGTCTTTTCGGGGTGTTCTTCTCCCACTCCCCTCTTGCTCATCCCTCCGCGACTCTGACGCCGGCAAGGTTTGGAGAGCCGCTCGGTTCGCGCGACCCGCGGGCTTGCACCAGCCTGGACTCGGACGGGCTCTGCCGCCCCCGCCTCTCGCCTCTCCCCTCCCCTCCCCGCCCTCCCGCTCCCCGTACACTTGATCGGCGGAGACTTGGGGCTGCCTGGCCGGGGCTTCCCCCTCACCCCTCCCTAGACCCAGCGCGCTCCTGACGCTCGCCAGTTACTTGTTGGGGTTTGTTTCTCTTGGCTCCCAGGGCAGGCGCAGGGCTTATAAGAGCAGTTCGGGCTGGGTCGGGGCGTTTTGTTTTGTTCGGTTTTGTTTTGCGAGAGCGCGCGCGAGAGGCGGTCGTAAAGACCTGGGAGGAAGATGTCAACCGTGAGAGTGTCTAACGGGAGCCCGAGCCTGGAGCGGATGGACGCCAGGCAGGCGGAGTACCCCAAGCCCTCCGCCTGCAGAAACCTCTTCGGCCCCGTCGATCACGAAGAGTTAACCCGGGACTTGGAGAAGCATTGCCGGGACATGGAAGAGGCGAGCCAGCGCAAGTGGAATTTTGATTTTAAGAACCACAAGCCCCTGGAGGGCAGATACGAGTGGCAGGAGGTGGAAAAGGCCAGCCTGCCCGAGTTCTACTACCGCGCCCCACGGCCACCCAAAGGCGCCTGTAAGGTGCCCGCGCAGGAGAGCCAGGATGTCAGCGGGAGCCGCCAGGCGGTGCCTCTCGTCGTGTCCCAGGCAAACTCGGAGGACTCGCACTTGGCGGAGCAAAAGACTGATGCGTCCGACAGCCAGCCGGGCTTGGCGGAGCCGTGCGCCGGGATGAGGAAGCGACCTGCAGCAGACGGTAAGGACCCTCCCCAAGCCATAAAATGTCTGTCTGTCTGTCTGGGGCACCGCCTTGCCTGCTTGTGGGGCTTGACCCATCCCCTTTCTTTTCAGCCTACTCCGGTGCGTAGCTTCTTGGGAGGGAACTTTCGTAATCTTAGGTTGCGCGTGCTGTCCGACTGCTTCTCTGTGTTTATGATTTGTGAGTCAGGAGCCCGAGATTGTGTTATCTGATAATTTTACTAACCGAAAGCATCGCAGATGCTCGCTTATAGCCGGCGGTAGGTATGTGACAGCGTTGGGGTGTTTATCAGCGGCCTCCCTCTGCACTTGGGAGAGCGCGTTTGGGGCGTAGCAAGCGCTCTCTGTTCTGTGAAAACAACCTCAGTCTGCGCCCTGAAAGGCTGCTTGGCATGACGGGGCCCAGGATGGTGGGTGGAGGTGGTGGGTTTTTCATTCCCCGACGATTGAGCCAACTTCTGCCAGCCATTGTTTTTTCTAATAAAGACTGTGTGTGTTCTTTCTTTCTTTCTTTCTTTCTTTCTTTTAATCCCCTCTTGTCCCTAGATGCCTCTTCGCAAAACAAAAGAACCAACAGAACAGATGAAAATGTTTCAGACGGTTCCCCGAACGCGGGCTCCGTGGAGCAGACGCCCAAGAAGCCGGGCCTCAGAAAACGTCAAACGTAAAGTGCTCGGGTGGGTTGATGACCAGGAGCTAATAACTGGCACCCGAATCGGGCTGCAGGAACTCTCTGAGCTTTCCAACCCCAAGATAACCTGATCTCAGTGGCTGCCGGCAGATTAGAGCTTGTGGGTTTTTCTTTTGTTTATATTTTGTTAAGTCAAAAAAATCAGGAATGGCGAAGGCTAGACATCACTGTGGGGATACTGTATTTCTTCTCAGTTTCCATGTCCTCGGGTCATTTTCCCTTGGAACACGACGAGAGCAAGTGTTCCAGACAAGTCCTTGTCACCAGGGCCCTGTGGGTAGCAACGGAAGTTCCCTGTGAGTCCCACCAAAACATGTTGGGAACAATAGGTTCTTTCCTCATCTGACCAAGACCGAGGGGTGTATACCTCAGACCCACTTCAGGAGAATTCATTTCCTAGAGGTTCAAGTTGAATAACATATTCTGGGCCATACATGGAAAACTGCCCCTGCCCCCCCCCAAAAAAAAATTAAATTTAAATTTTGAGGGAAATGTTAGGTACAAATGGCTCATATTTGGTTAGTCAAACCGAAATGCAAAAGGAGAGGCATGTTGTGTTCTTTTATCATTTTTATAAACTGTCACTTTCCCTGTTTTCTGATAAGTTTTGAGGTCAGAGAAGGAAGCTGCATATTTTTAAAAACCAAAATAGAAAGCTCAAACAACAACAACTAAGGTTCCTACAGAAGTTCTGGTAACACTGAGGTTGCAAAGCAGAAGTTAAATTAACTCTGCCAGAGTAAGCAATCCAGGAACACGTCAGCGTGTGTATGCTAATCGTGCTATACCAGGGTGATCTGGATATTTGTATGGGAAATGGATAGTAGATATCAGGGCTGTCGAGGGTGGGTCTACCCCCAAACAAGGGAAGTGGAGATTTTTCCATCTACTAAAATCGATCAACATAAATAATTTGAGTAACTCGCTCCCCCCCCCCCCAACTTTACATGGATTAGCTTTTCATAAGAAGCAGAATATAGGTATTAATAGTTTATATACCTCTTACAGACAAGACTGTGACCTCTTCTCTCCCCCTCCCCCCATACATGCTCATAGCCTAGCATATAAAGAGATCTTAATAGATGTTGGTACTAACTTTTAAAATCCTCATGTATAAAAATTTAAAAATAAGTTAAAGAATCATAGGGATTAAGGTGGGATTCAAGCGTGTTGTGTTTTTAAATCATAATGTCACATATATGACTTCTTCAGATACATCTGATATTTTCAGAGCTTATACAAAATGGAACTATAGACCCTCTGTATTACAGCTATATATGAAGGGGGAAATTGGATGAAAAACTGTTCTGACACATCCTCATCACCTGCAGCTGTTGTTGGTTTGTGACTTGTGGCCTAGCTCAGTAGATGAGCCACCGTAAATCAGACCTACTGGATTTTGACCTGGTCCCATTGTGACATAGAGAGGCATTTGTTAGTAAATATTGCCCTTTCAGAGAATACTAGAAATAATAGGAAGGCCCCCTTCAGGAGCATTCATAGGTATATCCTGTATACGACTAAGACACTAGGATATTTTGAAAAAAAAATGTTAATAGAATTTTCTTTGTAGACTAGAAGTTATATTTTCCATTGTTTCTCAAATTTAGAAAATTTTGCAACTCTTAAGTGTTACAGTTTCTTAATTTTCCTCTCTCCGTTCTTTCTCACCATCTTTGACCCCCATTCTCTAGACCAGGGTTTCTCAACCTCTGCACTGTTGACATTTTGGGCCAAGTAAGTCTTTGTTGTGGGAGGTTATCCTGTGCATTGTAGAATGTTTGGCAGCATCCCTGGTCTCTCCCACTAGATGCCAGTAGCACCCCCCTTGTGACAACCAAAAATGTCTCCAAACATTGCCAAATGTCTCCTGGGGGACAAAATTGCCCACTGTTGAGAACCAGTGCTGTAGACAAAAGTACACAACACAGAGGAGAGCAAAAATTCAGTGAAGGGAAGAAACGTTGGATAGAGATGACTATAGTCATCAACCTTTAGTACATACTTTCTTTTCCATCAGGTATTTACCAACGAAGACAGTGACAAATAATTCCTGTACTTTATTGGTAATGTTATTCTGGTACTTTTCTCCTAATTCTTTCCTCTGTTTCTCTTGCAGAATTGAGACTATGTTTCCTTGTTTATCAGATACATCACTGCTTGGCGAAGCAAGGAAGATATGAATTAAACATTTTAAATACATATCGCTGACTCCATGGAATGGATGTCCTGTATAAGCACTGAAAAGTAACAACACAATAACACTAAAATTTTAGGCACTCTTAAGTGATCTGCCTCTAAAAGCATTGGATGTAGCATCGTGCAATTAGGTTTTTCCTTATTTGCTTCATTGTACTACCTGTGTATATAGTTTTTATCTTTTATGTAGCACATAAACTCTGGGGAAGGGAGAGGAGGGGGGGAGAGGGGGGAGCTGAGGAATTGGCTTTGGGAGGTATGAAGAGCTTGCTTCGATTTAGAGCAAGGAGAAAATTATTTGACTTAACATGAAGAGAAGCAGTTTAAGGAAAGGGTTTGAATTGTTTTCTTTAAAGTTGTAATGTCCCTTTCAGTGAAAACTGATACTTCGTTTTAAAAATCATCCAAATTTGAACACTGGCTGCAGATAACTGCTATTTATTTTTTACATGAAGCTATTTTTTTCATTTGGGAGCTCTGATTATTCCGTTATGTAGCAGTAAATGGCTTTTTTTTTTTTTTTTTTTAACAACAACAAAAAACTGTCTTTAGTGCTCCCCTTAAAATTGGAATTTACCAGTTAATTATTTAGCAGTTAGGTAATCACTCCAGGTAATTATAGGCAAAAAAATATAAATGGAGGGGGGGAGTCTGAATGCTCAGAATCAACCATCTAATTTTTATCAGATTTGTTGAGAAAATTTCTGAATTTTCTTTTCACTTTGGGCTGTGTAGACAAAGTCAAAATAATTCTAAATCCTTGGATATTTTTAAAAGATCTGTAAGTAATTTCACATGAAAAATAATGAAATAATTTTAAATTTAAAGCTTCTTATTCTATTTGCTAATTTGCCCAAAGGAAAGTAGTGTTTTAAGAGGAAAGTGTGTATACAAAAAGCCCGTCTGGTATAAGTGAAATGGATACTACATCTTTAAACAGTATTTTTCATTTCCTGTGTATGTGTATGAAAAAAAAAAAAAACCATTTGAAGTGTACCTGTGTACATAACTCTGTAAAGACACTGAAAAATTATACTAACTTATTTATGTTAAAAAAAGATTTTTTTTTTAATCTAGACAATATACAAGCCAAAGTGGCATGTTTTGTGCATTTGTATATGCTGTATTGGGTAGAATAGATTTTTCCCCCTTCTTCTGTTAAATAATATGGCTGTGCTTAAAAGGTTGCATACTGAGCCAAGTATAATTTTTTGCAATGTGTGAAAAGATGCCAATTATTGTTACATATCAAACAATCAATAAAGAAAGCTTCCATAACTGTTCATTGAGTTGAACTGTGTATATTGTGTTTTACTAAGCTTGAGGTATTCAACCTGGCATTTTAGTCATATTTACACAAATATAGTAGGAAGTGGAAAATACCTAGACAATTCAGGCCCACAACTCATGTTTATGTGGATCCGAATGTGGTAGTAACTATTTTCCAATTAGTTCTGTAGGGGTGGACAAAGCTTTAGAAGTAAAATGTGGAAAAGCCATATTTTCATGTAAATAAGATTGTTAAATTCTCCATTAGTTCAAATATTTATGTCTTCTAGGATATGAATGTGTCAGAACTAAAAATTCTTATATAAGTGTACACTGATCACACATTTGCAGGATTGAAAATGAAAGTAACATTGATGGTTTATCTAAATTCTCTATTTACACATGCGAAGTGTTGTGGGGAATTAGAGCAATTGTTTAGAGTGTCTAATCTACACCCCTTGTGCAAAATACTCAAATTTATAGGCCCTTTAGAAATTAGTGTGCATTCTACAGTAATTTAGATAAAACCAGCATTCTTCAAATTTCACTGGTCATCATACACAAGTTCCTAAACTTATAAATTTCCTGGTAATCTACACAACCAAAAATTGGTTAACCTAAATACAAAAATCTGAGGGTTTTAGGTTCTCACATTCACATAGCAGAGATATTTTTTACTTAAGTAAGAAAAAAAATTCGGACATTTTAAAGTCAGTTTACTAAAATCCTGTAATTTTACATTCTCTTCAAAATGTAAAAGTAAATTATTTTTTTCTAGGAAACTGCAAATGGTTAAATCGCAAAAATCTGAATTTGAATTAAATCGTTTCCCTCAAGTAGTTACATTTACATTGTTGCGCCCCAAAAGGGGGCTCTAAACAAGATAGTTTCAGCTTATTTTGACCCGAAGTTGCGTGTGTGTGTGTGTGTGTGTGTGTGTGTGTGTGTGTGTGTTTTAAAAATAGGGTTCTCTCTACAGCTGCGGGAAGGGAAAAGTAGGTCCTTCGCTGGCTGGGCTACATTTTCCAAGTAGGTATTATTTTAATTAAAGACTAAAAGGTGTTTTGTGATTCTATTCAAAACACGTATGGGTGTTTTTCAGGAAGACACTAAGAAAACAAGAAAAACAATTCAAAATGGGGAGGAAGGAGTGCAGGGAGAATCAGGAAATAATGAAATAAAGTTTCTCTGAAACAAAAAGGGTACTTTAAAAATAAAAAAGTTTTTTTCTAACATGAAAAAATTCCTCTTAATTGTTGCACGGACCCCATTTCCCTTTCCTAAAGAGGCACCTTTAATGTGAATTTTTAGAGGTTGCGTTTTAGGAGTGCTGGGCCAGGAAGCGGCGGATGCTCGCCGCGCTGGGCACGTTCACAGCAACGCAGTCCCCAGTCGTCGTGTTGATCCATTCCACTCCTGTGTCAAGTCTCCAAATGCGTCCCCCGCGATTCGGAGCGTCCTCTCCCCGGTCCAGGACTGCGTCGCCCGCCGCGAGCGTCCCTCGGAGGGGACCGGGCCACCAGCACCAGCCACCTCCTGTCCGGCTACCCTGGCCACTGCGCCGTCGTCTCTCCTTATTGCCCCGCAGTTCCGCGTTCGCCCGCCGCGGTCATTGCGGGGTCGGGCTGGCTGACGCTTCGGGACAAAAAGACCAAATCTGGCTCCGGGTCTGCAACTTGCAGCTCCCGCACCGCCGGGGTCCCTGAGCGCAGTACACGCGCCCGGGGCGCCCGCAGGCCGCGAAGGGCGGCTGCGTCTCCGCCTGAGCAGCGGAGCTGAGCGGTTTCTCAGAAACTTGCCTCCCTCATCATCTCTCCTCTGGGCTAAGAAAGAAGCGAAAGCCCCCCACTCCTCTCGCCAAACAGACCCTCCCCATCAGTACTCTGCCAACTCCAGAGCGATGGGGGGACCCGAGCGAAAGGGAGAACTTTTCCGAGTTCGTGTACCCTCCTGGGCAGTAGCACCCCCCCCCACCCCCCCACCCCCCCACCCCCCCACCCCCCGGGCTCCAATGACCCGCAGCCCCGCGCTTTTCGAAAGGCTTCCCCGCTCGCCGGCAGCCAGGAAGGCCGTAGGGGCGCACCCGAGGGCCGAGCGCCACCGCCGCTCGCGGGGGTCGCTGCCTCCCTTCCATCCGCTTGGCGAAGTCCTCTGTCGCATCCCCAGCTGCCTGGCACGAGAGCTGCGGCAGGGAAGCACTAGCAGAGGTTACGACTCGGGGACGGAAGGGACCGAGGAAATAAAACAGGGAGCGGGGCCGATGGCCTTTCTGGCCGCGGTGCGCCCACCGCCCTGGCCGCGCGCAGCGACCTTTCCTGGCAGTCTTGGAACGCTGCCTTCGCCATTTCATCTTCATCATCACTAGCGTCGATACTTGCTCTTCAGAAACTTTTTTAGGTGGAAAAGGATGTTTTAAAAGCTCGTCTAGGCTCTCCGACCTGTTTCTCAGAGTACTAACTTTTTAAAATCTGCCATCTCTTTCACCTGAGCCACACCCTACGCTCAGTCTCCCTTCCCTCCCGGGCAAATTGAAGGTAAAAATACTGCCAGCGAGGCGGGGGTGGGGGAGAAGTGGGCCCACGATCATTATAGAACCACCACCCGGGGCGGGGACAGAACTCGGGGACCTGGTCAACAACCGGGGCTCTCGTGGGGGTGGGGTGGGATGGGTGGGGTCAGTCTCGGAGCCCGCAGAACCGAAAGTGTAATGTTTACACGTAAACTCGTCTGTGTGTGTCCCCCACCCGCGTACCAACTCCATCTCGCGTGGGGGCACAGGGTAGGGAGGAATAGGAAAGTAAAAGATACAAAAAGAACTCTGCGTGTTGGGCGCGAAACGTCGAGGCGCCTCGAAAGGAACGCGAAGGAAAAGCAGGGAGAAGGCGCGCAGCCGAGTCCAGTCCGGGGGATTGCATCACTGCAGCTCCCCCGCAAGAAAATGGGCTCCAACCCGCGGCCACCATCATGGCGCTCGGCCGGGCCCGCGCTTCCCGCGCGCATTCCCCGAGCGCTCGCGCCACGGGCACCGAGCCTCCAGCGAGCGTTTGCAAACATTTCCTCTCCCTCGCGCGCGCGCGCGCCTGTCCCCCCACCCCCTCCTTCCTTTTGTGTGCTTGTGTGTGTGCGTGCGTCGGTGTGACTGTGTGTGGACTAAGATTGTTTTTTTCCTCTCTCTTTTTTTTTTTCCCCTCCCGTGCTGGTGGTTGTAAACTTGATTGGCATTGGCTGCGCCCACTGACCCCTGCGCCGAGTCCACTGAAGATTTAAGGTGGATCCGAGAGGCTGCAGCTACAGGCGGAGTCTCGCGCTCAAGCTGGTTTTGGAGGAAAAAAAAAACAACCACCCCAAACCCGGCGCCCGCCGTGTTTTTACGCATCCCCTGCGGTACCAGCCCCCGCGCGCCACGCCCGCCGCTCGCTTCCTCCGCCCCCCTCCCCCCGCCCGCTTCTTCCCCATTGGCCGCTGAGTGCAGTTTGAATTTTTTTTTTTTTTCTGGGACGATTGTTTTCTTGTGAAAAATACAGTTCTCTAGATCGTGTGCCAAAACCGCTGCAGCGGACCAGGTGAGGTGTTTAGCTGGTTTAGTGGAGGCGGGAAGGAAGAGGATAGGTGGAGCTTCTGTTCCAAAAATTTCCCCCAAAGTGCGGTTGACAGCGTACAGACGGGTGCGGTGCGTGGGGCCGCCGTCACCAACCGGGAGACGCTTCGGCGGGGCCAGGGATGTAGTACAAACGTTAATGGATGTCCAGGGTGCGCGTTTCGCCGGCCGCGGGCCGGAGGTACTGGGGAGGCGCCGGCAGGAGCCCCAGGCGAGGATGCACCTTCCCCTGCTTGGAAAGGTAGAATTAGGGAAGGCGGGAGGGTGAAGGTGGCCCGGAAAAGATCACCTCACTACCACGGGGGGAAAGAAAGAAGAAAAAAAATAGAAGAAATGCAAATACAGGGGGAAAAGTGTTATTTCAGGAGCCACCTAGTCAGGGATCACATAAGTCTGGAAGTCGGTGTCATTTTTACTGAATTTTTAAAAGAAAGTTGTCTGTCTCTCATTTCCAGAGTATTTTTATGGAAGGAGAAGGCTGAAACAAAACTCAAAGAAGGAATGATTTTGAAAGTGCCTTTGACTACTGGATCTGAAAGTTAATTCTTTTGATGAAGTACTTTAAGATTTCGGATAATGTTATTTGTAAAACAGGTCTACTACATATGATATCCCTCGTTAATTATAAACCAACTATGTTTTACTTTATGGTGAAAAATTTAAAGTTTATCACAATTTAAATTATTCTCCAAATCAGTTTATCTCCAGATTAGTGAAGTTGGCATATAAGCATATAGGTGTTTTTTGTTTTGTTTTGTTTTGTTTTGTTTTGTTTTGTTGGGGAGGGGGAATTTTATCTGTTTCTCTTGTTGCAATGTAGTTGACACTTTGAACCAGAATTTCAGCCCAGCCTTTAGTCTAACAGTTCCTATTCAAACCACCCCATCTATTTCGTAGTTCTTAATTCCCCCAATACTTCCTAGCCCAATTAACCAACCCCTTAAGGTAAGCCCAACCCAACAAAGTTGCTGAGACCACCATATGCCAACCTGCTCGTGCCCTTGGCAAGGAAATTTTGAGCTAAAATTGCCCCCAAATAGACTGGCTAGCCTCAGTGAATTCATCATCCCTGGAAGTGTGAGTCAAGCACTAGTCTAAGTGACCCCTCGATTAGGGACATTGTAGAAAATATTTGACTATCAAATGAATGTTTAGATTTGTGATTTGTAAAGTCTATTCCAGACCCTTGAGATATTATATTTCTAACATTTGAGTTTCTGGATTTCTATTAAATTAAGCAGTTTTCCTTTCTCATGACCATTTTCTTGAGTTGAATTGTCCAATATGGTAGCCAGAAACCATATGTGGCTGTTGAGCACTTGAATGTAGTTAGTCCAAACTGAGCATTGCTGAAAGTGTGAAATATACACCAGGTTTCCAGAATTAGTATGAAAAATATGTTAAATATCTCAATAATTTTTTTTAAAAATATTGATTTCAGAGAGGAAGGGAGAAGGAGAGAGAGATAGAAACATCAGTAGTGAGAAGGAATCATTGATCAGCTGCCGCCTACACGCCCCCACCCTGAGGATCAAGCCTGAAACCCAGGCATGTGCCCAGACCAGGAATCGAACCTTGACCTCCTAGTTCATAGGTGGACACTCAACCATTGAGCCACACCAGCCGGGCAATAATTTTTATATTGATTATATGTTAAAATGGTCAAACTTTTGAATTATTAGGTTAAATAAAAATATTAAATTTAATTTCATCTTTGTTTTTACTATTTTTTAGGGTGGTTACTAGACAATTTTAATTTACAGATGTGACTAGCATTATATTGTTGAACATTGCTGTTCTAGACCAACACCCATGGTAACATGAAGCCCCCATCTTTGCGTTTGGTGGCTGGTAATACTGAGTAGGTGGTAACTTCCAGCTGCCATCCTAACTTCCGAAGTTAAATCAAGGCCCAAACTCAGCCATTGGAACCTTTAAGAAGAATGTTACCAACATCTAACACCTACCATTTAATCTTTAACACAGTATTGGGTTTGAGCCCAAACCATGGAAATATGGTACAGATATGTCTAATTAAGTCAGATTTGATCACAGCTTTCCACATTTTGTAAAGAGAGAGACTGGGAAGTCCAGTATGTTAGGAATGACTCTGGAAAAAATGTAGACCCCAAACAAAACTTCCACAAGTAACTTTTCACTACCACTGTTCAGCAGACGTGAACAAATGAAAAGGTGAGTCATATTTTTGGATAGGAATACTCAACATGATAAAGATGGCAGTAAATTAATACCTTTTCAATTAAATTTATACCTTTACACTAAATTCTGGTAAGATCTAGTCATCCTATTTTGTTTCATTGTTCTATCAGTTTCAGCACTCAGAGCCAAATTATTTTAATTACTATAAATTTAGAATATGTTTTAATTTCTGGTAGCACTAATCCTCCACACCCTAACTAGACCCTTTTCAGAAATTTCCTGGCTTCTTTTGCTGGCCTTGTTTTCCAATATGAATTTAAAATGAATTTAGCCACAAATATACCGTAATCCCTATTGGCATCTACACTAATAAAAGAGAAAGATACAAATTGGCTGTACCTTCACGATGCCCACCAGCCAATCAGGAGTGAGTATGCAAATTAACCCAACAAAGATGGTGGGTTAATTTGCATAAGCAGGCTACTAGCGGCCAGGGCGGGCGAAAACAGGCATTCCGCACAGCCCCAGCTGCTCTGGGCCTCTGAGCAGCGTGAGAAGGCAAAAAGGCGGCTCCTGGCTGGAGTGAAGGCGGTGCCAGCAGCCAGGGGAAGGAAGGCCCATTCTTGCACGAATCTTTGTGCATTGGACCTCTAGCTAAAAAATAAAGTGACATTTTTGTTTCACGCTGTATACCAGCATAAATTCCTAAAGAATTTTAAGTGAAGTGTAAAAAAAATTAAAATTAAGCCCTAGCCGGTTTTGCTCAGTGAATAGAGCATCAGCCTGTGGACAAAAGGTCCCAGGTACGATTCTGGTCAAGGGCATGTACTTCGGTTGCGGCTCCTCCTGGTCAGGGCTTATGCAGGAGGCAGCCAATTGATGTGTTTCTCTCACATCGATGTTTCTCTCTGTCTTTCCCTCTCACTTCCACTCTCCCTAAAAATCAATGGAAAAAATATCCTCGAGTGAGGATTAACAGCAATAACAAAAAAATTTAAAATTAAAAAAACGAAGCCATGGACATACCAGAAGAAGCCTCAGAGGATTAAAAAATATATAATCTCAGAGTGGGGAAGGTGTAACTATGACAGAAAGCATAAAATTCATAAAATGTAATGTTGATAATTCGATGACATAAAAATAAAAATGTTTTTTATGACAGTAGAGTGAAAAAAGTGAGATGGGGGTTGTGTGAGTATACTCAGTGCCACGGAGCTGTATAGTTAAAAATATTTAAAGTGGTAAATTTTATTTTGTTATGTGTAACTAACTACAGTAGTAAGTAAATAAATAAAACCGCTAAAATGTTTTAAAGGTCACCCATGTTCTAGCTAAGTGAATTTTGCACAGCGTTCTGGTCCCATCCTCTGGGAGACAGACACTGGTGCAGTGGTTTGATTTCAGGCTCTGGGAGAGTCTTGCTTGGGTTTGAGTCCCAGCTACCTGACACCCCGCCTGTGAAACTTGTTGCCAGTTACTCCACCTTCTAAAGTTTCTGTTTCTGTGGCTATGTAATGAGCTGTTTACAGTTCTTCCATAGGGTTATTAAACTATTCAGTAAGATGATGTATGTGCAGTACTTAGCATAGTATCTGGTATACATATAATACATAGCCATTATATGTTCATAAACAATATAATTAATAGATGTCCAGTTCTTATTTTGGATTCTCAAGTAAGCACAAGCAGCACTATATTAACCTTGTAAATATGTTTTCTCATTTTTAAACACTGCTCTTATTACCCTTAAAAAGAACAAATGATTTTTTTTTGGTGGCATTTAATGAACAGAATTAATGTATTGCAAAAAATGGTCAAAATGGTACATTTTATGTCATATTTCACCACAATATTTTGAAAAGCTTAAAAAGAAAAGGGTATTTGTTAAGTTTAGGGTCATCTCTAATTATCTTAGAGAGAACCTGGTATGGATTTGTTTGTGGAACTAATCAGTGACACACCCATACACAGACAATGGAAAATGTTTGCAATCCATACATCAAAAGGCTAATTTCCCTGATAGTGTCTATAAATACATGAGAAAAAGCAAACAAACCAATAGAAAAATAAGCAAAGGCTATGAACATGGTTTTCAGAAAAGGAAATACAAAAGGCTTCTAAAATGTGAAAACATTTATAGTTTGAGACTATTGGGACATAAATTATATAGAGAATGCATAAATTTAAGTAAAGAGTTGCAGTTAGTGTCACTCAGATGCAAAGGTGGCGTTGATCCTTCCTTGATAGTTTAACTTTTGCTTCCCTCCCTTCGATCCAAGGCTGAGTTTTCCCCAGCTTCGTTGACCAGAGAAGCAAGGAGTTTGCGTGTGTGGAAGCCACAACTACCTTTCAAGTTCAGGGTAAAATCTCTCTCATTCTAAGCATGTAATCTTTGGCTTACCGGCATCATCTTACTTTGCCCTTAGAAATCCCCTGCATCAGCCTCTTAAAGCAAGCACAGTGACCTTTCTCGACACATCTCGTCCATTCCTGTGTTTAATGCCTGTACATTAGCCCATAATCGGAGTCTCTGAAATCATGGCTTGATTCTGGTTTTTCCTTCAAGTTCTTTATTCTCTTAAAGCTTCAAGCAGAATTTATTATATGATTAATATGAAACGTCAGCGTATATGATGGAGTAAATGGTGTTAGGTTAGAACCACACATACATAATGCCTTTTATGTACTGTGGTTTTACACTTGGATTCAGTAGTTCCTTTCTACAAATTTACTTTTGGGAAATGGTCAGATATGTGACTAAAGATGTATTTACCAGCATGATCATTGTGAAGTTACATATTAGACTTTAAAAAGAAACTAAATAAATAACCGAACAACATCCCCTTAGATATAGGGTTAAAGGATTGATTATGTGGTTGCAACCATTAAAACATCCAGGTAGCTTTATTTATATTAATATAAAAGTCCATAATATTAAACCAGGTATAGAACAATATTTATGGTATAACCCCATTTTTTGTAAAAATAATAAAATAAAAAAATTTAAAATTCACATGTGTATGCTTCAATTCCTGAGAGTAGAATTATGAAGAGACTTTCATTTTCTTTATTTACGTATTGGTTGTATATTTTAATACTGGATTTTAACAGGGAAAAGCCATAAAGATATTTCAAATTTAAAAATAATTACCCTTAAAATTCTTGAATGGAGACCAAGTTTCTCTTTGTAGTCTCTCTTCTCAGATATTAGCACAGAACAAGGCATTTCCATAATTAATTTTCCTTCCTAAACTTAATTTTTCTGTCTAGTTTCAGATATCATTAAGTCCCTACATGAATTATGAGGAGTGTTGTGTGTTTGGGTATATGGTTTTGCTTCCAGGGCACATAAATTAAGGGCAGAAATATCATCCCATTAACTCAGGGCTATCTTAACAAGCCATGGAAAATTGAGCCTATTCCATCTTTTTGCCACATGGGATCCTGGTGGTAACATTATCCCAAACCTCACATTCCTTGATCTTTGGCATTTGGCACACCAGGATTCTGCCTGGAATTCAACGGCTCAACTCCCTGCCCGTAGTTTAGTTACTTAGGGCATAGTGCTGGGGAGATTGTTTTAAATTTCAAGTTAGCAGGCCGGTCTGGAGCTGTCACTCTCCGTGGGCCGGGCCTGGGCGAACTGTAGAATTTCAGAACACGGAGAATGGGAGATCACTGCATCCACTTTCATTTTGCAAATGAGAAAATTCTAATCCTTGATTTCCTGTAAAGTGAGGAAGTTAGGCAAGGTGATTTATAGGTTCCTTTTGGCTTCCAATCCTGTGATTTGTTTCCTAGTCAAGATCACGCAGTCCATCCCTATGGATCAGGTTTTTTTCCAGGGGAAGCTGGATTACTGATTTTTGGCCGCAAATTGCGTACTCACAGGAGTCAGAGGAAGATGACAGTACAATAGTGTAGGCTGAAGAGTGAACTTTTATGATCTCCCTAGAAAAGAAAAGCATGTGAAAGTATAACTTCATGGTTGCTTAGTGGGACTAAACACTGCTTCATTGTTGCATGAAGACTCATGGAGTCCCTGCTATGGGCCAGGCTCGCTGTCTTCAACATGACAGACAGGAGCCATACCCTCTTGGAGCTCCCGGCTGCTGGAGGAGATGGACAGGGAATCACAGCCATAGTTATTTAGTGGGATTTAGGTGAGTGTCCTGAAGGATCAGTGCCATGAAGGGACCTCAGAGCCCCTGCTCTGTGCTCCTACAAAGGTGTCCAGCGGAGGGCGCCAGCACGGGCGGGAATCCAAGCTCTCCCCAGGCCAGCCATGTTTATCCAAAAGAAACAAGCCTTTAAAAATCCACCCCCCCACGCAGTGCCTTCTGGTTTTCTGAAAGTCCCCTGTGTTGTAGTGGTTGCTCCGTAGTGGACGATATAAGGGTTTGGAACAGGGGGCCTCACCTAGTGATGGGGGCTCGCAAGTCCCTCCTAAGGCAATGACCTTTGAGCTGAGACATGGAGGCTGAGCAGGAGTTAAGCAGTTGGAGGCAGGAGGGGAAGAAGAGCGATCCAAGCAGAGCACCGTCCAAGGCCCCAAGTCAGGGAAGGACTTGGGGGAAGTGAAAGAAGGTGCTTGTGGCTGGGATGCCATGAACCAAGAGCAGCAGGCACGGGTGATGTGAATGGAGTGCTGGGAAAGTCCGGATGGCGATGGGCTCTTAAAGCCATGTTAGGAATTTCGGACTTGACTTCAAGAGCAGTGGGAAGCCGTTGGAGACTGAGAGTGACTTGAGCAGCTTCCGTTAAACTTGCTTATTTCCTCATTGCATCTTATTCTAGTCAAAACCCTTAGTACTGCATTGGGATCGTTCCCATAGGATGCGGGAAAGAAAGTGCAGGCCGGCACCTTCATTCTTCACACACATAACCAATATAAAAATGTTTTAAAGCTCTGGGCACATGGTTTTTCAGTAAGTGAGGGGAACGTGAAGTCCTGGGACCATCAGAACAGATACTGGTCACAAGTGATATGTCTCAGGTTTTGAAGGAGGGCCCACACAGGCACCATGGCGGGTGTCAGTCTGCTGCACTGGAGGGTGGAATAAGCCCTTCTCACCCCTTCCGCTCCACCCTGCCCTTGTTTAGCTTGCAGTCTGTTTTCATTGCCATAATGAGCCCATTGCTTGTCATTTAGAAGCTTGCCCATGTTTTGTCCCTTGCCAATACAATTGGTGAGTATCTTCTAAGCATATGAACAGCTTAGGGGTGAATACTGAATCATTTTCTTCAAAACTACCTCAGCATTTTAATCATGTTACTGAGCAGCTGGATTCAGTGTTTACTAATACTTTGGCCAAAGGATTAACTATTTACTAGGTTTTGGAAAGAGACATCAGAAAGAGAGATAATAAAAATGAACCCACAGGGACTTAAAAATATATATTATTTAATTAATTATTTATTTTTAAATATATATTTTTATTGAGTTCAGAGAGGAAGGGCGAGGGAGAGAGAAACATCGGGGATGGAGCCCACAACTCAGGCATGTGCCCTGACAGAATCAAACCGTGACCTCCTGGTTCATAGGTCAACACTCAACCATTGAGCCATGCTGGCTGGGCTTGTATTTTGTTGTTGTTGTTTTTTAATTGAAGATTAGTAAAAGAGAGACCTCTGCTGGCTACACTGGTATAATGCCCTAGAGTTGGTCTGTCACCCACTGAGAAGCCCCCTTTGAAGCTTTTACAGGTAGGTGTTAGAACACCCATGGCTCACTGTTTGTTCATTTCCTCAGCTATCAACGCAGGTTCTTTGAAGCTAATCCAAGTGACCTGTGATTCCAAGCCCCAATCACAGTAGTTCTGTCTTTAGGAAAAGTCTTAGTTTTTTATATTTCTAAAAAATTATAGCGTTATTTTTGAAAAATATTTTTGATTTCAGAGAGGAAGGAAGAGGGAGAGAGAGATAGAAACATCAATGAAGAGAGAGAATCATCGACAGGCTGCCTCCTGCACACTCTGTCACTGGGGATAGAGCCTGGAACCCATGCCCTGACAGGGAATCGAACCGTGACCTCCTGTTTTATAGGTCAACACTCAACCCCTGAGCCATGCCGGCTGGACAAAAAAGTTACAGCTTTAAATATCAGCCCCGAGACAAACCCAGACCTGAAATAACTTATGAATTTTATCTTTGTTTCCTTTCTCTCTTCTGCCCTTCACCTCCCTTCCTCCCTCCATCGGTAAAACAAATAAAATAAATCTTCACTCAAAAGAGAGTACTGCTAAAACTGGTACATCTACACAATTGAATACTACGCTGCTGTAAAAAGGAAGGAATTCCTACCATTTGCAACAGCATGGATGGACCTGGAGAGCATTATGCTAAGCGAAATAAGCCAGTCAGAGAAAGATAAATATCACATGATCTCACTCATTTGTGGAATAAACTGATGAACAAAAACAGATCCAGAGACAGAGAAACATTGATTAGACCAGTGATGGCGAACCTATGACACGCGTGTTAGAGGTGACACACGAACTCATTTTTTTGGTTGATTTTTCTTTGTTAAATGGCATTTAAATATATAAAATAAATATCAAAAATATAAGTTTTTGTTTTACTATGGTTGCAAATATCAAAAAATTTCTATATGTGACACGGCACCAGAGTTAAGTTAGGGTTTTTCAAAATGCTGACACGCCAAACTCAAAAGGTTCACCATCACTGGATTAGACTGTCAAACCTCAGAGCGAAGGCAGGCGCGGGTTGGGGTAAGGGGGAGAGATCAACCAAAGGACTTGTATGCATGCATATAAGCCTAACCAATGGACACAGACAACAGGGCGGTGAGGGCATGAGTGGAGGTGGGTGGGTGGGGAGGCAACGGGGGGATAAGGACACATATGTAATACCTTAACCAATAAAAAAATAATTAAAAAGAGAGAGAGAGAATACTGCTGATGGAAGGTGAGAAGGGCGGAACTTACCTGCTTATCTCTAACATACTCTCAGCTGAATACCCAGGCTTGGGGCCCAGGGTTGGGGTTAGATACCTGAGGAGAGCTGTGAATCCCATTAATGTCTTCTGATGGATGTGTTCAGCCATGGGGATGAGGAGGCACCACGTGAAGGAGACTGGGTGAATGGGAGACCCAACAAGTGAGAATGTGAAGGTGGCTATGTAGTGGGAGAAAGGGAAGGTCTCCCTGAGACCTTTCATTTGTTAGCAATTATGGTGGTGAGGGCCTCTATGGGCCAGGCTGTGGGCCAAGCACTTTACGTACCTTTATTCTGTTTCTTGCTTTTCCTCTCACTTCATATCTTAAGAACATCTTTCTCTGGAAAGTATTTAGTATGTATAAAAATAATAGTTATGTGTATGCTCACTATTTTATTATGT